CTAGCCTGCAAGAGGCGGGTTACTTCTTCTCGTACAGCTATCTGTCGTTCCGGGGCTTGCCGCCTCAGCTTTTGTTTTATCGGGCGAGCATCGGTGGAGATACTGAGGTGATGCAGGGCGACTTCCGGGGAGACGCCTGTCATGTCAGAGGGAGACCAAGCGAAGACATCAGCGTTTTCTTGTAGGAGGCCGATGAGTTGTTCTCGTTCTTGCTCGGGCAATTCTGACCCGATCCTGATCGTTTGCTCCGGGCGGTCTTCTTGTAGCGGTACAGCGACAGTGGTTCCCCTCGGCCCGACGTGGGGAGCCGACTTTTGTATTTCTCGGTGGTCCGCCAGCGGTGGTTCGGCCCTGGGCCTCTTAGGTAACGAGACGGCGGTCAAGTAACAGCGCCGGGACTCCCGAGGGCTCCCTACGGTCTCTCCGGTCCCTGCGGGGGTCGGGAACTTCACGGTTTGATAGTAGGTCCTGACGACGGCTCTGATCTTGTTGAGTGTCGGCCGGCCGAGGATAGCGTTGTATGCAGCGGGGAGGTCAATGACCAGGAAGGTGGTCATCGTTGTCCTTGACCTCGGCGGAACTCCCAGGGTCAGGGGCAAAGTAATCGCCCCCAAAGGCGAGATTGAGTCGCCGGTGAAGCCGGTGAGCGCCGAGGACACCGGCTTCATGCTATCTCTGGGCAAGCCGAGCTTTTGGTAGGCGTCGAAGTATAGTATGTCAGCCGAGCTCCCGGTATCAACCATGATTCTATTTACCTATGCGTTGGCGACCCTGGCTGATATCACGAGCGCATCGTCGTGTTCGGCCTGTTCAGGCATCTTGGTCGGGAAGGTGATACTGGGCCCGGGCGCATGTCTGGGGGCTTCAGCTGAGGCGGCTCGGGCGTACGCCTTCTTTCGGGCCATGGAGTCCCCCCCGGATGCGGGGCCGCCCGATATTACGTCGATGTGTCGCTCCACGGGCCCCTCCGGGCGTGGCGAAGATTCTTTGTTCGGGCGGAGATACTGATCGAGGTGTCCCCTGCGGATGAGCTCTTCGATTTGTCTTTTCAATTCCTGACACTGTTCAATGTCGTGTCCCCGTTGCCGGTGGAAGCGACAGTACTTCGATTGATCTGCCAACGCCCGGGGGTTGCTCATCGGGTAGGGTTCTTTGAGCAGTCCTTTCTCCCTTATATGAAGAAATATATCCGTTCGGGATGAATTCAAAGTAGGGGGAGGGGACCTCAGAGTCGGTGGGTCGGATCTGTCTGATTTACGCCGGGATGTTGCAGGCTGCTGCTGTCGAGGCGGCTCTGACTTGGTCCTTTTGTGTTCCCTGGGTCTCCCGGTCATCCATGTCTCTGCAGCGATGAACTGGCTTGCCCTCTGAAGCATCTCGGGCACAGTCGTGGGGGGTCGCTCCACTAGGGACCAGAAGAACCTGTAGGGTCGCAAGCCTATCATGAATGCCTGCATTAATAGGGAAGGATGAGCGTCCGAGAGCCCTCGGATCTGCGTCGTAAAACGGTCCAGGAAGCGGGAAAGGGATTCGTCTTCCCCTTGGTTGAGTCCGAGGAGCAGCGCCGCGGATGGCTTCGGGCGGGCGTAAGCGAGGAAGTTGAGTTCGAAGTCCCGAGCGAGCTGGTCGAAGGAGGAGATGGTTCCCGCCTTAAGGCTGCCGTACCACGCGCGGGCCGGTCCTCTCAAGGTCGTCGGGAAAGCTCTGCACATCAAGGCGTCAGAAGTTCCGTATAGCGCCATTTGGGCGCGAAACGCGGCTACGTGATCCGCAGGATCGGTGGCGCCGTCATAGGTGTCCAGGGATGGGAGCCGAAAGTGCGGTGGGATGGCCTGATCTTGTATCTCGATTGCGAATGGGGACCCTTGGTATCCATCCGTTCCAGGCTCCCCTTTCGACCTGCGGATTTCTTGCTATACCTCGTTAAGACGTTGGTTGAAAAGGTGCAGCTGCGCTTGTAGGATGTTGGTCGAGCCCGCGGGTGGCCGCTCGGGTTCGGGGCGGTTCAGCGTGCTCACGGTCTCCCGGTCTCCGAGCCGGGTCGTTTGGTTTCAAGGCGACGGGGGGGCCCCGGGGGGCGTCGCATGCTCCCGAGGGGCGGACTCTCGTTGACGCAAGGGCTGGTCCGCTGGCCGTGGGATGAGCGGAACGATGGTCTGCACCACACCCGCCAGCGCCCTCACTTGGTGGGCGAGGTCGTGGAAGGCCTCGGGGGAAACGGATGGGGGCACGACAGTGGCGTCGGGCGGAGATAAGCCCAGGTCATTGAATAGGCGCCAATATTGCTCCGAAGTTGTAGCGGGGCGCTCGTCTTGGGGCTCTTCTCGCGAGGGACGATCTCCCGGGGTCCCGACCAGGTGCGTCATCGCAGCTGAGGGATCGCCAAGGTGGGTCCGCTGACTAGTCGACATTCCGGCCCTCCTTCTAGCACCAAAATGTTACGTCGAGTAACTGTTCAGCCATGGCCTTGAGGCCGTCGCGGCTTGGTCCGAGTCCGGAAGGCGGTGGTCTACGGGTGGGGAAGCCCCTCGGGTCTGCTGGGTCTCCAAAGGCGGCGATCTCCAAAGGCTTCGCTCCTGTACAAAGGTCGGGTCGGGGTGCTCGACCCGACCCCTCCAACGATCAAGTCAGTCGAAGATGTGGAGGGGGTTTTGGAGGAGGAAAAACCTCCGTGGGTTGAGTTATGCTTTTCTTA